GACTATACAACAGGGGACACATTATACAGTAATTGTTTTTCATATAGCCTGTATATGTTCTGCGGAATCTGCATTAAACTGTATCTTCCAAACTACTGAATGGATCTGGGTGAATTTTGGATATGTGGTTCACCCAGATCCCCGAGGATATACTTTTTATGGGGTTATTGCATGTTTTGGGGTCCCTGTGATGTGTTTTATGATACTGTATTTTTCCTGCTTGTGATAATTATGTTAACCCATTGTATGCCATAATTAGATCACAGGCAGAGAGGAGGATTCTGCTTGACCTCAAAACGAAGTGTCGTCTCGTTATTGGGGGAATTGGATTGCATGCGGATTGCCAGGAGTGTAAGCTGATTGTATGCTTTTCCTGTTCAGCTGCTTACAGCATTCATATGCTTGAGAGCATTCATATGCTTCTCTGGTTCGGTGGTTGTGGTGTCTGCTGCAGTGCTTGGAGTTCTCAGGAAGCGCTAGGAGCATCCTTCAACAGAGGTACCCAGTCGGGTGCCAGGTGATCCGTTACAAATTGCATGTATGCAGTCACACACAATCACAAAGTAATATACACAGTCACATGCACTCAGTCACATGCACACACTGTAGTTTAAATAATTTAAAGCCATATGACCTCAGTTACACACAAAGAGCTTGATAAAGACTTAATTGGGAGTTGAAACGTTGCAGTGTTCCAGATGTTCCAATGAAGGTGCTTGAAGACATACAATTATAGGCACACAGTCACACACACTGACAAAAGCAGGAGGAGAGCAAAGTCAAAAATTTCCACACACCCTCAGACATTACACACACAATACTCAGTCACACGTAGACTCTACCACAGGTAACAACACTCATCCAGCACATACAGGCACACTCAGTCTCCTCTATACACAAAATACACACTCTTACACACAACATTCTGTCTTTCTCACACACAAACAACAGTCAGCCAACACATTCACACACAGCATTGACAGAATCAGATTCCAGGGTTCTAGAAGTGAGTCACAATGGGGCATCCTGGCTTGGGCCATTGGGAATCTTAATCCAGCTCTGTGCAGCATTCAGTAAAAACATTCCACATTTTTGTGCAAAAACTCCAAAGCTTTTTAAAAAAATAGTGCAAATTTATGAGGCCAAAACTCATCAGATGCAGTAAACATTGTGTTGGTGCTTGGAGTGTCCCTTTATGCATAGTCATAGTCCTAATTTGTTTTATATGAATTTTTATAATTATTATTAAATATATTCATTTTATTTTTGGTATAATTTCATAAACTATCTTAATATTCTATTTCACCATATAAAGGGCGGACTAGAAAATAAAAATGGCCCGGACATTTTTTAATTACAGAGGCCAATTGAAAATGAAGGGTGGCCAGAGAGGGAATGTTTTGTCATTATCATTGACAAGCATGCTCCCTCTCAATGTGTTTAATACTCTTTCAGGAAAGACAATGTGCTGAAGAGCTCTTGCATGAGAAAAATGCCCTGTATTTGTACTGCACAGCAGAAGCAAATTTAATGAAATGCTTGCGCTGTGTTTGCTTGTGGGATACTAGGGACAAAAGGGCCAGAAAAGTTTATTTTGCCTGTGTTTGGAGGCTGCTTGTAGGCCAGTGTATGTGTACAGTGAGCTGATTGTGGTCTGGTAGTTTGTGTAAATTAGTCAGTTTCAGTTGTGTTGTGCTTGTGGTGTAAAATGTGTGTCTAGGGGCTGTAGAGAGTGAGAGAGAATGTAGGTATATGGAGCATATTGTTTAAAGAGGAAGTAGCGGGTGTAGTGTATGTGTGTATAGGTGATGCAGTGTGTGTAGGGGCTGTAAACAGGGTGTGTTTAGGAATATAGTGTGTGTTTGTATACAGAGTATCCACAGTGTGTATATTTGGTATGTAGTGGCTGTAGGAGGTCTAGTGTGTGCGTGTGTAGACGTTCCACAGTGTGCATAGGGTATATAGTATGTGTTTGTGTAGAGGATCTAGAGTGTGTAGGGGATCCAGAGTGTGTGTAAGGGATGTAGTGTGTGTTTGTCTGGAATGTTGTGTGTGTAAGTGGTGCAGATTATATAAGAGATGTAGTGTTTCTGAATGTAGTGTGTGCTAATGGTAGAGTGTGTGTATAAGAGTGTCTATAGGAGATCTAGGTGTGGAGTGTGTGAGATGGATGCAGTGTCTGTGTGAGGGGTGCAAGGTGTGTGAAGTTTGCAATGTGTGTGTGAGAGGTGCTGTGTGTGTGAGGTTTGTAATGTGTGTGAAGGCTTCAATGTGTGTGTGAGGCGTGCAGGTTTTTGTGAGAAGTTCAATGTGTGTGTAAAGAGTACAATGTGTGTGAGGGATGCAGTGTGTATATAATTGGTTTAATGTGTTTGTGAGGGGTACAACGTGTGTTTGAGGAGTGCAACGTGTGGGAGGGGCTCAATGTGTGTGTGAGGGGTGCAGTGTGTCAGTGTGTATGTGTTAGAGAGGTGTGAGGGGTGCAGTGTGAGGCTTCAGACCAAGGATAAACATTATGACTCCTCCAGCAATTTAAGCCATGCCCGAGGTCCAACTCTAAACCCCAATTTGTTCTATAAATCCCATTGTGACACCAACATTTGATTGAATACAGAGTATTACATTAAAGGGACACTATAGGCACCCAGACCACTTCAGCTTATTGAAGTGGTCTAGGTACAGTGTGCACTTGGTGCTGCAATGTTAAACATTGCAGTTCCAGAGAAACCGCAGTGTTTACCTTGCAGCTCTAAGTCTGCTTCCAGTGGCTATACTTAGCGCGGTTGGGGAGGGGCAAAGGTGTGCGAGGGAATGAAATGTGGAGCTATAGTGCCAGGAATACAGTTTTAGTATCCCTTTCACCAATTTTGATAAATTCTATACCTACTGTATTAACCCAAAGCATTGGTGTATTATAGCACACTGTAGTGTTAGGAATACAAGCATGTATTGTGTCTTCCTAGCTAGTTAGGTTATGATAGGAAAATAACTGTTTTGGCTGAGATCATCAAGTTTAATGAACTCAGCCAAGGTGTCGAGATGGGGCGGAGACAGCCACAAAGAGACCTTTTTAATGGGGGGACCTAAACAGCACTATTAGAACTATAGTGTCAGGAATAAATGTTTGTGTTCCTGACAGTATAGTGTTCGTTTACATTTTAAATTCACAGTGAACTCACTTTTAATTCTCACTTTAGTGAATAACCCTGTAAACGTTTTATTTTTTTTAATATATGCCTATATTAGTCCTTACCTTATCAAAAGAGTTGATTTTTTTTTTTTTATTGCAACAAAACTGGGGAAGAGTGTTGCCCCCACATACACCAAGCACACTTTTCCTTTGTGAATTCTAATTAAACAGTTGTATTTAAGTACTACAGGAAGAGAAGGTAAGCAGTATTAGTTTATTTTGGGTTTGTTAAAAAAACTAAAATTTTAGTAAAACTACGATTGGAGAAAAACATTCACAGTGAAAACGTATTTACAAATTCTTAAAAAGATTTTAATTGCACTGCTTTTAAAGTTTCATATGCCACAAATGCTATAAGCAGCTACAATGTATCATGACTGTGGAAAAGATGCATTTCATTTTAAAATGTGGAATAGAGCAACTTCCCTCCTCCTCCTTACTAAACAATTTTTTAATGAACTGTTCCTACTGTTTGAAGCTTTCACCAACCAATCTTTAGGGTATGATCCACACATTCCACCACTTCCATTCACTGTAACATGACAAGCAGATGATACAAAAAGTGATTTAAAAAAAATGCAAAGTGAAATTGGTTTCATTGATCAAAAATGGCAATAGATTAATAGATGCTGGTGAGGGGCTTGTATTTGTTTACAGCAAGGGCTGCCCAAAAGGTAGATCCCAGTGGCTTAAAAAAACATAGCTTCCATGATGCTTTATCATTCCAAAGCAGTTTAAAGGCGTGCAAAGCATCATGGGGGTTGTAGTTCTACAACATCAGGGGATCGATCTGCCTTTTGGACACCCCTGGTTTACAGGAAAGGGCTTTTCTTTTGCAAAATGGATAGGCTATATCGTCTAT